CCACCATTAAAAAACCTGTATGGCACAGAAGCATTGAATAATATTAGTCGAAACAGTGCTCGTGAATAATCGGCGCGCTCCTGTGACGCAGCCGCGACGCGTCACGGTCTCGCAGGCGCGCCAGATTCTTAAATGCGACCGCTATGAATTCCGTAATTGCACACACACCTCTAAACACTTCATGAACCTGTCCTGCTCACGTCATGGTGTCATAACAGTCAATTTCTCGATATTCTCATCCTGCCACCTGTTTTTGTTCCAACTCTGTATGCCCTAAGTCTAAGGGAAGAACTTTAAAATCGCCCACTCCCAATGGGTGAAGTTCATTCAAACCATCAATCGCCAGTGTCTCTATCCTGTCGCCTGCATCCCTCCCAGATTGAAACTCCTAAGCCCGAGGAAAAAAACCTTCGTACTGTATCCTGTATTGTATTCAACTTTTACAGAGTAAGGGTAGGTTAGTACATGCCGGGTGATTCGACCGATGTAAAAAAAAAGGAACAGTGAAATTGTTACCTCTTTGAACTTCGTCTGGATCCATCTTTTGAAGGAAACATCAAACATGTTCGGTGTGCTTATGATTAGAACACATACAGTATCTGGATCATAGGGAAGTTTGAAAGGGCTACCAACCGCATTATTGTATACACCCATCTGGAAATATATATTTCAGCAAGCAGATGTAACGGCACAAGAAAGTTGAAAGATTGCTTATTGTATGGAAGCTGATCACCAACGCATTTCTTCAAAAAAAAAAAAAAGAAAGGAAACATACGTTGAACAAATGTGATTCGAAGCCATCCTCCACGGTAAGTTCTTCATCGATCAACCCCTTCACAAAGAAGGCCCTGTCCATTTGGTTATCATAAACGATGGGACGCATTCTTGAGTTCACCATTATTTCTCGAGCTGCTTTAACAGACTGACCGTTTTCAAAGCACATCACCGAATGAAGTATCATATCAGCATGAAAACTGATATTGAAACGTAGAAAACTTCAACAGCAAGGCATATTTACTTATCCTAGTAACAAAGGGCGTTGGCAAAATTATGAACACACCTTTATGAGTGGCACGAAGCAACTCGAGCGACAGGTAATTTGAGAGTATTGATCCATAAATTGGGTACAATAACAGACCAATGTTCTAATGGTAAGGACAGCAATGATCAAAAGCAATAAAACAGCAACAACAATAATAATTTCAATGTACCTATCTTTTAAATAGAAGATTGAACATGCTTAAGGCTTATTCATCAACACCATTCAAAGAGATTAAGCAATGTTTACCACGAATATTTATACTGCTGTGCAGGCTTCAATGTGAGACCTACTTATCCAGTTGATTCATCGCAATTTTGCTGTCAAGTCAAAGATTCATTGCATTAAACGACGGATCTACTTATCAGAAAACTCAAGGTTAGAAAGCTTCAGAAAGAGTTTTCACCCATCTAACCAGGGAAGGGTTTAAACTTTCCATAGAACTTTAAATAGAGACCTAGGTATAACGATAGGGCTTGTAGAGTTATTAAGAAATATGGAAGCTAAAACTGCAAAATGAGTCTACCAAAAAAATTGTGAGCGTTCAAAGTTTGCATGCTTAAAGCATGGACAGATAGTTCTAGTTGATAAGCACGCTTTGGTATCAGCCGTAGGAGTGAACGAGATGCTAAGGAGTGCATGGTGCGGTGCAGTGGCGCTGGTACCAAGTGTGCCTGGGGATCGAATACGACTAGGTGGCCGGCCAAGCCAGCCTAGACGTCTACCTCCACTTCTCTGGCTCATTGCTTCGGCCCTGCTGCAATATGGAGCCAATCTGCAGGTGGCAGAATAAAATGCAAAAGCAACAGCGCCTCGAGGATTCGAACCATCATCCCAACGTAGCCGTCCCAGTTCGAAGTCCACATCGCTATCCAACACACCATCCGTCGCTGCCAGCTGCGTAATCGTGGAGAACTTATATGGAACTTGTCCGCACTTTCCAACATGTTTCAACATGTGCCTCCCTTTCCTAGATAACGTTCAAGTTATTTTCAATGCGCAGTCCGCTGGCACCTTCTATTGTGCGGACAGTCGACGCCATGAATGAAACAAACGACGCTTAGTTGGTTAAAACGGCAATTTCTGACAAAAATAATTTGCACTCCTCCTTTGGCATTCAGAAGGCCATTTAGCGGAAATGGACCATAGTTCTGTACTCAGTGCTCATGCCCCTACACCATGCAAAAACCATTTTCAAAAAGCGTCCCACGCCCTGAAAGACCTTTCTTGTTAGACCGGTTCGCATTTTCACAAAGTGGTCTAAATTATGAAGCAAAAGTAGATCTGCCCATAACGCTCAAAAGAAATAAGGAACTCGGAAAACAAGAAGGAATCCTCACTCAATTCACAAGATGAGAATGTCATTGAGAAATCCCTTTCGAACCCAGAAAAAGCCAGGACATTGCGAAGGAATCATCAGGAGAGAAAGTATACAAAGAAATGGAAAGGTGTGATATTTTGTGGAAAGTTTCCTCTTTTTTTTGACGGCAAGTGGACTACTTTATTCCTTAGTTCAATGAACCTCAACAGCAACGAGTAAGTCGCCTTGGAACCTAAGAGTTTCGCATGAAGATGTCAAGATTCGTTGAGAACATAACTATTTGTTTTGGATATTCTTATCACTCAGAAAAACCGATCTTTGGGAATTTCGACCAGAAATATATTGATTCTACTTATTACGCACGTAAATAAAACTCTCAAAACCAGTGATCAAACCTCAAACCAACTTTTATTGCAACCCTAATTTCTATAAAAACTGTGATTTAGCACATCTGTTGAGAAGTTTCAACTGGTCAAGTAATCATGTAGAGACAGCTTAATTATTGCACTCTTCGCACCTAACCAAGTTCTTTTATGTCTACTTGCGAGGAGAGTTAGATTAGATAAAACCGTACGCATACATCGTACACATGTTCCTATATACACCTGGACGCCGTAGTCCCAAAGACAGGAGCGTAAAGAAAGAGTGCGTAAAGAGATCGAGTTTGTAAGAATTAAGTCGCGAATTCGAGCTGTTTAGAACATTACTTGCTTTCGCATCATGCTATTTGGAACTAGATTAAAGGTTGTTTGTGATAAAAGGCACAGTTCACGAAAAAATGGCTTATGAGATAGTCCTGGAGGAACTTGTGGCCGCCCCGTATACCATGTTGCGCTTCATCTCGGTAAATGGCCTAGATAGGACGTTAAAAATGATCAAAGATTGCACCGTTTGCCCTTGGACGATCTTTATCGGCACTGGAGAGGCTGCTCCGATCACAAAGGAAGCTTAAACTAGGAGTAAGAAGTTTAAACAACTGTCATGACCAATAAAGACAGTAAAAGGCAGTTCTGTACAGTTCTGGCTTGATATAGTTAGCTCGTTGGGCAGTTGCAGCAACGGAAATCTCGCCCGAATAACCCTTCCATGGATTTATTTTCTTCCCTACAGAAGAACTATTCTCAACCAACACTTCTCCTTTACGACTATAAAGGGGGACCTCCAAGTTACCGTGAACTGTGAATTATTCAAAAAGAGTTCAATTTCCAACTAATTTCTGATCGTCTGCTCGTTCAGCCTTGGATTTCCTACCCGTGACTGTCAACCAAACAGCTTCAGACGGAACAGTTAGCCTCTAGACACTGTGGTAAGTAAAGAGTGCAAGCCGACATAGCTTGAGATAAAAGAAATTATATACCATCTCTATGTGTGATTGGAAACCAGTACGATTTCATTGAAAGCTGCCTTTCCGCGTGATCCAAGCAAGCTTCTTCGTCTCCATGATGATTTCAATCGCTAATATCCGCAATTTCTCTTGTTGGACAAGCTTATAACCGTATACAAGTTGAGCGTGTCCTAGTAGTGGTCGACAACCCATAATCAAAAAAAAAAAAAAAAAAAAAAAACAAACTCAAATTCGGTAAATTCAAATTACTGTTCAGCAACCATAAACTGAGGGTGCAGTGGAATTTTTTTTTATTTTTTAAAACGACATAAAATTTGCAGTAGTGCACGGCTTCACCACGAACTAGAGAAAATCTCTTTACCATGGCATTGATGCCCCTTCGAGATTAAGAGTTCATAGGTCAACAATTTATATGTCGAACGTTCAAAATAAGAATAACTTCAAATTTTTTGATCCTAGAAAACGCAAACCTTCTGTAAACGTGCATAGTTGGTCATTTTTTACTTATGTTACATATAATTTGTTATTTCTCCCATTATGATGGTAGGCGCGATTAAAGCGCGTCTCGTCCGATGACCTCATTAATTGACGCGCGAATCGCACCACACCGCGATAACCCAACTGGTCTTCAGCGCTCTGATGGCAAACATTTCTCTAAAGTTGGCTGATTCGCACTTTCTAGTCTGAATTAAATTCGAAGTTCGCTCAATATGCAACCAGAACAGATGGTTCCACGATGACAGAGCCAACAGCAACACATCAAGGAATCATTCTATAGCTAGTTTATAAGGGAAGAAAAACATATGTAAAACCTATCGCTCACTGGTCATGAAATACCCATGGCATGATAACCCACTACTCGATGCAAACTTGATGAAAATGACGTATGAAAGATTCAAAGACTGTACTACAAAGAGCAATGCTTAATGAACATTGGCACCAGAGAACAGCCTCACAAACAAAATGATGAGGAATACTCGAAAACAGAACGATGATTAATTATTACAAAATCGGAAATCTGCTGAAGACCACTCAATTTTGTAACCTCAGAGGGATCCAAAGTTAGTAATAGAACAGAAGCCAATACCCGTGCAGAACGCGGAGCTCGTCCTCTGTTACAAAATTGGTATGTAAAAGCAGCCTAAAACTTGCAAACGTAACTTTTCGGAGAAACCCACCAGCTTATTTCGGGCTTTCGTCCTCGCTGCTTGAACTGGAACTACTATCACTGCTCATCTGCTCTACTTTGTTCACCGGCGGAGGATTCATTCGAGGTGGAGGACTCACAAAGTTAATGTTTACAGTTGGAGAGACCATCCTCGGTGAATTCTAGGAAACACCTTCAAGATCAACGAAAAAAACAATAACTTATGTCTGAGGAACAACTTCTACCTCGCCGATATGACCGGCTCTTTTTTGGAATGGTGAGACACCTCCCGGCGCACCACTGCGGCCTGCCCATTGAGTGCCTCCACGTCCACGTGGAGAAGGACTGGCTTGTTGGTAGCTAGAAAAAAAATTAAGGACTAGGACTAAAAATTTTGGGGCAATACTTTTTAAAGGGAAGGAACGCACCCTGTGCGAGGACTCCAAACCTTTCCCTGCATAGGAATTTGTGGTATTCCTGTCATTGGTGAAGAGACACGACCCATTCCAGCCTAGATGGTTAAATAAATTATGAAGAACTAGCCGGGTCGCCTGCTAACGCCGGGCTTCCCCTATCCTTACTATATATAAAGTGCTCGCGTCTGTCTGTCTGTTTGTTTGTTTGCACGGAAATTCATAACTTCTGTCCCCGTGGACCTAGAACGTTCAAATTTGGTAGAACCACAGGCGGCAGGATGGGAACACTTATGGTGGGTGGCAGAACCGGACTCCCCCCACAGGGAGCAAGGTTTGCGCGAATTAAATGTTGGAGCGGGAAAATCATAACTCCTGTCCCCACGGACCTAGAGCGTTCAAATTTGGTAAGAGTACAGGAGGTAGGATGGGAACATTTATGGCGGGTGGCAGGACCGGACCGCGTCCACAGGAGGCGGGGTGTAAGCGAATATTTTCAATTTGGCTTTGGGGCGTTAAAACTCGGCAGGAGAAGAGGCGGCAGTACGCGAACACTTATGTTGGGCAATAGGGCCGGACTGCGCCCACAAGGAGCTGGGTTTCCGCGAGTAAATGTCTGAGCGAGGAACATTTACGATAGTAGAGGCCTTATAGAACAAGATCCAATCACACATTACATCCAAGCGCCTTTATAATTTACGATCTACCTTTGATTCTTTGATATGTTTCATTCGACAAGAAGGGTGAATGCATTGATAGGGACCGACTATAAATTTTGGTTCACTTCTTGCTTACGACCGCTACCCAGCGAAGATTGCGTTTCAATGGCGGGTCACGATTCCTCTCTGCTTTGATATCATTCATGGCAGAACAGAACAGAACCGACCGCTAAAAATCTGGAAGCCTCTATCCTTCTTATTTATAAAGCAGTAACTTGGTGTGTCGGTTTGTCGGTTTGTATGTCTGTCCGTCCGAGAAATTTATGATTACGATAAAGGTAGTGATATGGAAAATCTAGCGCTATTATACACTTCCTTCCGTCCGAGAAATTTATGATTACGATAAAGGTAGTGATATGGAAAACCTAGCTCTATTATACACTTCCTTCTTTATGTATATGAAGCAGTGAATTGGTGGGTAGGTTGAGGGGCGGAGCTTCGACAATGTGACTTCG